TTAAAATTATCAATTTATATAAATTTTAAATATAATTTATATATTCAAATATAACATATATTTATATATTTTATTTATTATAAAACTTAGTACATAGTGCACATGCTTAAGTACTAGTTTAAGGAACAAGAACTATGGTTAAAAGAAATTATAGTTTAAGTTTATTTCCAAAACACATTTATTGCTTTTAAATTTAATGTTATCTTTTTAAAAAATAAATTAATATTTTGTTAAATTTTTTTTTACACAATTTCAATATGAAAAAAAAATTAACCGTGACAATCAATTAAAAATCATTTTAAATGTAATTTTTAAAATAGTTATTATAAAAGTTAATATATATTTTTTCATAAATATTAATATATAATTAAAGAATGGCCGTCATCAGTTTTTTAATTGAATTCTCAAATAACTAAGAATTTAATTGAAAGACTGTAAGAAATTTTGATATTATTATCTAATTATAAATCATAATATAATTAAAAAAAATTATAATAATTATTTTAAATTTATACTTAGGGTGATTTTTAATTGACAACATATCTCTTTTTACATACATTAACTGTATATTAAATTTAAACTTAAAGGAAATTTTTAACAAGAACCAAATGGAACACAAAATGTTTAATGATAAAATAAATTACATTAAAAATAAAACATTTATAATTGGTCAATATTGGTTAATGAGATATAAATACAATTTTAAATTATTTTATTTAATAACTTGAATAATAAGTATTAAAATATTATTTGTATTTTAAATAGAATAAATAAATTTTTACTAAAAGTGATCACTTTTATTTTATTTCTTTTTTATCATTTGCTAAAAATAGCTTCTTTTTCACAAGCTAAAATATGTCAAATAATTATGCAATTGTTTTATCTTTTGATATCATCTTTGGTAATTTTAAAAAAAAACTTAATGTATACTAATTGTTTTAAAAATTATCAAAAATGGTCATTTTAAAAATTATTTTAAATATAAGGTAAAATCTTAGCAACTTTTGATATCATCTTTGGTAATTTTAAAAATAATCCAAAATTAATAGTAAAATGTTGAAGTGGATTCAAAATTATTAAGGAAAAATTATAATATATATTAATTGAGTTCTATTTTTCTCCACTACTTACCTATTAATATTTCTAATACTTTGTTAATAAATTGGGTAAAAATTATAAATACATTCGATATCTTAAAAACATAAAATATTATTTTATACTTTATTTACTCCTATTTTTTTCAGGTAATGTACATTTCTAAAGCAAATTATTAATTGTACAAAATTCTATGATAAAATATTTTTTTAACAAAAATCTTTACTAAAAAAATTTGAATATAATTGTAAAACCATTTAAGTATTTTTTTTTCAAGTCACTTTGTTATTGATGAGACGTATTCACTAACTTTTTAATAACTAATTTGTTTCACAAAATCTAGAACTATTTTTAGTAAAATCTTTCTTCTTAATCATATTTTTTTATCCACAAGATTTGAGAATCCAAGATTAATTTCACCAGAAGCAATAATGTGTTAGTAATCTATTTAAATATATAAGAAAGATATCAATAAATAAGGATATTTTTGAAAAACAATTAACACTTTCTTAATTTTTTAAAATGATAAATATTTTTAAATAAGATATAATATGATGCAGAAATAGGAAGATTAATAAAAAGATGTAATAAGAGAATGTAGAATATTATTTGTATTTGATTTCATGATGGTTTCTTAATAACAAAATTAGAAGATTATTAATAAAAAGATGCAACATCCTTCTAACATATTTCTTAATATTCAGTAAAAAAAAACTCTTTTAATATAAATTTATTATATTTTAAA